AGGCAGCTGGCAGGTCAGTTCAAAGCCCTCACTCCTTGTAAGCTGGCTCCTCTGTGCTCAGTGTCTCCTTTCCAGGTAGTGCCTGGCTGTGTGGAGAAGCTTACTGGCCTGACGGGTTGGGGAAGGGGTGCTTCCTACTTGCTGTCCCTGTGCCTGCTCAGGTGCGGCTGGGCTGGTGCGCACAGGTCTCTGGGCATCCGGTTGGCCCTCACTGATGCGCACTGAGGACCTGTTTTGCACGGAACTTCTCATCTCAGAGTCAGGCCTCTTCCCATCCGTATTGGTTTCCTAGGGCTGCCACAACAAAGTGACCCGAACTGGGTGGTTTAAAATAATAGAAGTTTATTACAATTCTGGAGTCTAGAAGTCTGCCTGTATCTTCTCTTCTTCTAAGGGCAGCAGTCATATCCGTTAGGGCTCACCCTATGACCTCATTGTAACCTGACTACACCTTTGAAAACCCTATTTCCAAATAAGGTCACATTCACAAGTATGGAGTCGGTAGGTTAGGACTTCAGTGTATCTTTTTGGGGAGATACGAGTGGATCTGTAATACCATCCCTAGATCCTCTCAGCTCCTGGGCTTCCTCCACTCAGCAGGAGTGAGGGTATCTGTGCCACTGTCCCCAGTCCCGCCTGTCTGGACACCCTCCATCACATCTCCTCTGCTGCAGCCTTACCATGTAGGGTGCAGTGTCAGGCCCAGCGTGGATACATCCTGGGTTGGGGGGGGGACACAGGCCCCATGTTGGATGTCCTCTCATCCCCTAAACCTATCTGAATCTCCCCGTTGCCCTGGGACCCTCAAATCTGGCTGCCTCTCCATCTCTCCTGCCCTGAAAGGGTCTCCACTCCCCAGTACCAGTACTGTCCCGCAGAAACTCCGTATGTTGGCGCTTCCTTCTCCCCTGCTCTGTGCAGCAGATATTATCTGCCATCCCTTTGAGGGGCAAAGCCTCACGGTGAAAGTTGCATGGTGGCGATGATGCTAGAGAGAGAGAAAACAAAAACCAAATTAGCAAAAGGGAAAACACAGCAGGAAATGTTTCAAAGATTCTATGCCTGTTAAAATGTTTTTGATGTTAAGCCCTATTTGCCTTGACCTTTGAAAGTCTAAACAGATGGGAATGCTGGTCTCCCTTTATCTACCAGTCTGTGTGTCCCTCAGAGACCACTCAACATACTTCCCTGTCCATTCCCTCAGTGCCCCTGGCCTTCGGTTTCTTTTTCTGGGACATTTTCCCCCCACCCCTTTGCAGGGCAATTCCTACTCATGCTACCAGGCTCAGCTTGGACTGCACTTCACTGGGGAAGCTGCCCGTTGCCCCACGGTGGGCTGCACGAAGCCCTGCTTGTCCCCATGCACTGTGACCGTGTGGTTATGTCTGTGACTCCCAGCAGACCGCAGCCCCATGAACACAGGAGCTACACCTGTTTTGTTCTTCTCTGTGACCTCACCGTTGGCATTTGGTAGGAACTCAGGAAACGTGGGATGAAGGAATGAAAGCCAGGGAAGGTGACACGACATTGTTTTGTGTTAGGCTGAACCATATGAAATCACCAATAAAATTAGGCTGTTTTTGCTCTACAAAGATCGCAATTACCTGTGATGGGAGCCTTCCCAAGTTCTCCTTTTTGGTAGACGCTCCCATCACTGGGCAGCGATCAGCTTGTCTTCTGGGGAGGGGAGGCTGTGGACAGTCTAATTTCCTGGGACTCCCCTCACCTGTCTTGTATTGGCCACCAACCCTCCCAGGCCTAGCAGATTCTGCACTGGGTAAATCCGTGTGTGCACTAAAATGACCCCTGTGGTTTAGCCAGTTCCTCCAATTTCCAATTGTTCTCCAATTTCTACCATACCTTGGTGAGTTACCTTCATGCATCTTGTCCTAGAGCAGTGGAGGTTGAGTGCTATTTGAATAGATGTAGAGTAGCTGTTAAAAGCAATGGGTTTGGCATCAAACAGCCCCAGTGTGCTCCAGCTACAGTACACAGTAGGTGCTCAATACATGCTTGTGGAATTATGGGAAAAAGTTTGGAGTTTGAGTTACAGCTCTACCACTTACTGGCTTTGAGACCTTGGGCAAATTGCTTGTGCTCTCTGAGTCTCAGTCTTAGGTAAACTGGGGTAACCATGCACCCTGAGACAAGGGAGACAAAGGGCTTGCATGGCCTGGGGCTGGGCTCCTGTGAGGCTTCACAGCGGGTGGAGCCCCTCAGCAGTGCCCCCCCTTCTCTTTAGGCTGTCCTGATCATCCCTTCCCTGGCTTCCCAACCTCCTGTTTTTGCCCCTCCAGCCACCCTGCAGCTGGCACCCAAGGACTTCTCAGCGTTGTCTGTGGTCCTGTCACTTTTGGTTCAGAGCCCGGGGTGGAGGTGGGGGGCTCCTCGTCACCCCTTTAATGACATCCAAGTCCTCCTATGGCCTCAGAGGCCCTCCCAGGTTGCCCCCGGGAGCCACACTTCCAGCCTCCTCTCTGATCTTACTCCTGCGCAGCAGGGTCACTTGTTGTTTCTGCTTCCAACCCCAGCCGGTTCCCAGGCTCCCGGCTCTGTTCAAGCTGCCCCTTTGCACCTGGGATGCGCCTACCCCTTGGCTAGGAGTTCAGCCTCAAGAGCCATGCCCTCTGGTTGCCAATTCTACTCAGCAAAAGGGGTGCTCTAGGGACCAAGGTTTGGCGGTGCCCCCAGATCCTCATGAACGCTGTGAACCTCCGAATTCGGTCCTGGTCACCCTCCTACGCTCCTCCTCGCCCTCTCCCATCCAGTGGGCGTGACCGGGGGAAGCAGGGGCCACGCCCATTATGGCCACGCCCATCTTCCCGCGGAGATTTGCAGGAAAAGCTGGCCGCCTCTAGTCCTTTCTCAGGCTCCTCCCCTTTGCTTTGGGGGAGTGGAGGCCCCTTGTCCTGACCGGGAAGGAGGTTCACAGGTTCACTTGTCCTGACTGGGTCAAGGCGCAGGTTTTCAAACTCCCAGCCTCTGCAGAACTGGAGTGCCCATTCAGCACGTGCTTACCCCAGGCAGCCACAAGCCCTGCTTCCCGCTCCTGACATGACATTGCACCAGGAGCTGAACAGAAATAGAACCTGCGGGATCTGTTCCAATCTGCAGACTAAATTGAATTAATGCATAGAAACTCTCAGTTTTAAATTTCTTTACTTAAAATTTTCTTATGCATTTAACACCTGCCAATGTTTGTCCGTATATAACATTCAATAATGGTAATTATGGTCACCTATACAAATTTTATCTACATTTCCCAGATATCCTGGCCTTTCCATACTAATACATGGTAATTCACAGAAAACCTATTTGGGCGGTGCTATGGCCATGCCTGTTTCGCAGAGAAGGTAATCAAGGTTCAGAGAGAGGGAGTCATTTGCCTGAAGCCACACAGCTTGTGCGTGCACAGGATGGAGCTGATTTGAACCCAGGTCCAGGTAACACTAAGGCCCCTGCCTACACAACACCCTCTCACGTCTCCTCCTTGCCAGCACCAGAGAGCTTAGGTGTTTCAGGAGAATGCTTTCTAGTTTCCAGCTGTATTTCATGATGATCACGCTTTCCAACCCTTCTGCCCTAAGAAGCCCTTCGGAGAAGGGGGTTCCATTTCACCTACCTGGATGTGACCTTGGGGCTAAGACCTAGAGGAATCAAGGCAGCCATTCCTCAGGGTGATTGAGGGGCAGGGTCTTCCCCTGCCAACCACGGACCCTCCTGCTTTTCCTGCTCCCTGACCAGAGTGGGGTGGCTCTGAGGCCCTTGGGGGTGGGATTCTGGAACTGAATTTCTCAGGTGCACATGTATACAGTGAGGGGTCTGCATGCACGGGTCTGCCCACAGCCCCTGGCCAGGCCTTCACTTTCAGAGTCACTGTTCTAGGCTCACCTCCAAATTTATTCTGCAAGTTGCATCTGAGGTCAGACCCTCCCCAGACTGAGTTTGAGAGCCCCCAGCCCAGCAGGACTTGATCAGGGATTGTCAGCCCCCTCTCTGTCACCTTCTCCTCCCCGCCCCACACCCCCGGGCTCATTGAGCTCTATGGAGGGGTGGGGGTGGACCTCTTGGGGCTCAGAGCCTTCTGGGACAGACCAGTGTCCAGGCTGCTCTCCTGAGTGGAGGGGAACCAGGGAAGTTGTGGGTCACGGTAAGGCACGTTATGGGCTTCAGAAGCAGGTCATGGCCGAGTGAGGCCTGTGTGGGGCCTCAGCCCCCACTGGGGGCAAGTGACAGATTTGCTGCCTGTGACATATGCCACCAGCCTGCATGTCCGGCTCCCGACTTGGCCAGCCAAGGTGGAATGTGGCCTGCCTCTGCTGCTCTTTGTGGGGAACGACAGACAGTTGCCAGTCCTTGCCTGGTGAAATGTCACCTCTACGCTTGCTGGCCTCTGCCCAGAGGCTGCTCAGGGCTGTCCTGGGACCCTGATGAGTTCCCTTCCACTTCCCACTGCCGCCCATCTCAGTTCACACATTCCCTCCTGAAACTCAGAATTGAATTCTCAAACAGAAAACAGCGTGATTATGAGCCCACTTACCTGTGTTGCTTAGAAATTGCGGGGCTGGTTTGTGAGGATTTGGGGGGCCTCCTCCCATTGGTCTCAGTCTAGGCCGTGGATGGCAGTTGGGAGATAACAGTCAGAGGGTCCTGCTTGCAGTCCTGAGTCCCGAATGGCAGAGGAGCTCTGCAGACACCATGAACCTCGGTGGGATGGTGCCCACTTGGGGAGCTAGTGTGGGCCAGATTCGGGGCCTGTATTGGGCAGGGCTGAGCAAGGGGTGCCAAGCAGGAGGGCATCCCAGTGGGGAGGGGCCCTGGAGAAAGTGTTGCGCACTTATAGAGAACAGATTGGCCCTGTGGGGAGCAGGGGGCCGTGGGGCTTTGGTGTCCTCATCTGTAATGAGGCCACAGTGGCCCCTGCCTCATATCAGGGCAGGGGTGCGGGTGTAATAATAGTACCTGTCAACATTAAGTGAGATTGGGTCTTTACCTTGCAGGGAGCCCCATATCTTGGGTCAGTGTCCCCTGGTCGTTGGGGGGGTTCTCAAGTGCCACACAGACTCCCCCACTGAAAGGTAAGTCCCTTCTTGTTCTCCCTCAGCTCCTGGTTCACTGGAGAGGCTCGCATTCCCCAACTCCTTCAGAACAAAGAGCTATTGGCAGGCAACAATGACCAGATAGAGTTTAATAACATTGTTTTATTTTAATTATAACTTTAACTTCTACTATTTATGGCATGGTGATCTTAGTTTTCCACTTACAGTAAACATATAAAGTTCCTTGATAGATAAAATTATTTAAGTAAAAATTGTTTGACTTCCTTTAAAGAAAAATATTAAGCAAACAATAGAATGGGGAAGATACAGACAGAGCAGAACATCGTGAAGGTGGTACCCGGGTCAAGGCCAGGCACCGGGCAGTAGCTCTGGGGCGGGACCTGGGGGTTTGCATTTTGTGAAGCTCCCCGTGATTCTGGTGGCCGCCCTTTGAGGAACCTGGGGCTCCAGACTGTTGACTGACAGATGAGAGGCTCCTGTCAAGTTTAGCCCAGAGCTGCTGGGGCTTTGGAGGGCGGCCAGACACTGCTGGGAGTCAGTGGGTATGAGGGGTGGCCCGCCCTCCAGCATGTCATGTCTACACCGGTGCATCTCAGATCTGAGTGTGGGCCTTGTTAAAATGCAGATTTCCGGCTGTACCCAGACTTCTGGGCTCACGGGCCTGGGCAGTGGTGAAGCTGCTGGTACAGGACTTCACTTTGAGAACAGCCTGTGTGCAGAGACCGGCACCCAGATGGCTGCCATGGTCCCGGCTGGGACTGGGGACAGAGACCATATCCTCCTCCTCCTTAGGAGCCACCTCAGCCCTTGGAAGAAGGAAGCAGGGCCTAAACCAACAGGCACAACGTGGAAGCATCCATCTGCCACTGCAGTGCCCAGAGGGGCGCCTGGCCCAGGGTGATGTTCAGTCCCAATGTGTGCCCTTGGGGCGGGTCTGTGCTGAGTATGTGGAGGGATTCAGGGGGCGCCCTTCAACCATGAAGTGGCTCTTTGGGCCAGGGGTTCCGATCAGCTGGAGCAGATGCCAGGAGCCCTCCTAACGGCAGTCTCCACGGGAGGGGTCTTTTCTCTTCCTTCCCAGACTTCAGGGCTGAGCTCCAAGCTCGGCCTGTCTGAGAGGCCTCCCGCACCACCCTGCGGCCTGTGCCCTGTCCGTTGTTTGGTGCCTCCGTCTGAGAACGTGAGCCAGGAGTCCCAAGACCTTCCCTCTGTGGCTTCCCCCCTGCTGTGGTGCCTGGCGCGGAATCCCAAATCTTTGTGAACCAGTGAAGGATGGCTTCACTGTAACTCATGCCTGCTTCCTGGAGGACACTGATGCTCAGAGAGGTGAAGCCACTTGCCTGAGGACACGCAGGAGGACACTGGTGAGCAAGACCTCCAGTCTGCATGAGGCGGCCTACCCCTGGAGCCCCTGACTCAGGTCCCCCGTGGTGAGCCAGGATTTTACACCCTCTGCAGCCCCAGTGGGCTGAGAACGGGGGGCTGGGGTGGGAAACTGAGGAGGGGACCCACCTGCAGAGCTTGGCAGGAGGCCTCACAGATTCAGCAGGCTGAGGAGGGGGCAGGAACTCACAGACACGCTAATTATCTCGAATTCAAGAGTGATGGCTGCCGTCGGGGACCAGGAGTAGGTTTTGTTCCTCCCTGTGTTACCTTCTAGGTCTGAGACCAGCAGTTTCGGGTGGAGTCCTATTAACCTCACATTTTTTCAATCCCTTCCTGCCTGCCTTCAGGAAGATACTCTCAAAACTGAAAGACGCCTTGGAGATGCCTCTACTTACCCCGACTTTGCCTGCTAACAGGAAAACTATGATTTATTGAGCACCTATTATATGCTGAGGTGCACGGTCTGGTTCAGCTCCTGCAACATCACAGGTGCTGTTTGCATTGTGTCTGACTTTTTGCTCACCATTCTATGTGAGTGTCTCCCCATGTGCCGAAGTCCCTTGTCTCAGGTGCTGCCAGAGGTGGGACAGGACCCCTCGGGGCTATTGTCCAGATTACAGTCCCTTTCCCAAACCGTGGTCCACAGCACCCCTCCCCTCTGTCCGGCTGCCTTGTGCTCAAGCGTCAAGGCCCAGCTCAATCGCCCCTCTTTCAGAGGCTGTTCTCTCCCTCCCGGCGCATGCTCTCTCTGAAGCTGAGGCTCTCTGCCCTGCCACACCCAGGTCTCCTACCCGCTCCTCTTCATAAAATGTGACACCTTTTCTCTTCCTTTCCATGCTTCAGGTCTGACTGCAAGGTCAGCTTGTCAAGGGGCATCCAGACCACCATGTGCTCTTCTTGTGGGCTTGTCCCTCTGTTGATCCCTCAGCCCACAGGCTTGGTCGGCCAGGAGAGAGACTTTGTAGAAGGTTCTGGGTAGCTGCTGTATACTGAAGGGCCCACTTTGTAAGTCTGTCAGATTTAGCAATAAAAACAGAATAAAAATACAGCGTACTGAGTTAAATATGACTTTCAGATAAGCAAGAAATAACGTTTGAGTATAAGTATATCCCAAACGTTGAATGGGATATACTTACACTAAAACATTTATTGTTGATTTCCAGTTCAAATCGAACTTAGCATCTTGTATTTAATCTGGCAGCCCTACCACCTCCTACCCTTCTTTGCCCCCTTGTCAGTCTCTTTCAATAACTAGATGGAGAGTCCCTGAGAGCAGGGATCTTGGCTGTGTGGGCCCCTGTTGCACGCCCAGCCCTCAGCAGGGACCCTGACATGGAAGTAGGTGCTGGAAAAATAAACCCATTGCTAGGATGAGTGCAGGGGGACTGCCCTGAGCCAGGCACAAGAACTGTGTGCCGAACTCTTGTCAATTTCTGCGAGGCCCATAGCAAATTGGTGGGAAGACTGAGATGCAGGCTGTTTGATTCAAGGGGTACTTTAAAATTTTTGTAAAACAGCTGTGATTTACCGAATACCTGTCATGTGTCAAGCCTCCCATTGTTTTTTTTTTTGTTATCTTTAATCTACAATTACATGAAGAACATTCTGTTTACTAGGCTCCCCCCTTCACCAAATCCCCCCCACAAACCCCATTACAGTCACTGTCCATCAGTGTAGTAAGATGCTGTGGAGTCACTACTTGTCTTCTCTGTGTTGTACAGCCCATGGGCTGCTTTAACGAAGGCCCTTTGTGAGTGGCACACTTACTGTGTGAATGTTTATGCACGCCCTTGAGTTTCTGAACAGTCTCTTCTCCGGGGTTAACTGGTTCCCCATCAATCCTGCTTACACAGCTCATTTATTCAGTAAGCCCTGCTTCCCTCCATGTTTGGTACAAGGGAGGATTGCCCCCCAGTTGAGAATTCTGAATTAAGGAGTCTTTGAATGAATGAGATGCTGCTGAACAGAAGTTCCTGATGGGGCACAGAGGTGGTGGGTCATCAGTAAAAGGGGCATCTGCTGGGCTGTCAGAAGGGACAGGGTTCAAATCCAGCTCCCACCATTTACGAGCTCTGTGACTTCAGGCAAATTATTTCCTCACTTTTGGCATCTCGAAAGGGGGAGTTAAATGAACCTGGACACCCCAAGATGGGCCAGATGCCATGCTGCTGATGCTGAGGTTAGAGATAGGGCGTGGCCACCGTTTCCCTGAGGGGACCTGGTGGAGGGGCACCAAGGGGCCTTGTGCCCTGAGGAGGGCTTGGTCTCTGGCTGCTCTACTAGGAACTGCCCTCTGCACCCTGCCCAGAGCACCATGGCCAAGGCCAGAGAGAGGCGGGGCCTGCTGCTGACCCACGTCTTGCTGAGCTGGTGTGTGTGTGTGTGTGATAAAGAGGCATGGACTGCAGTCACCAGACTCTCACATGGTTTCAGCTCCTCGCCTGGCTGAGGAACAGTGGCTGTTCTTGCTCCAGAAAGGGGACTCTGTTTTCCCAGATCGTCATCAACGTCCCTCACACATGCTTGGAATAAAATGCAGACCCTGCCAAGGCTCCCAAGGCCCCACCTTGACCCCATCCCAGGGCCCGTCTTAGTCACTCAGTTCTTTCCGGCCTCACTGGCCTCTGCCTGCCTGTGCCCTCCAACTGAATCCCTCCGCCCTCCACTGATTCCTTCTCCTGCCTCCAGTCGTCTCAGGGATGCTTCCACTGTCCGTGGACATGGGCGACCTCCCGCCCTTCCGTGCTTCTCTCAGCGCCTTGCTTGTTTCTCCCCAACCAGAACAGAACCCTGCAGTCTGGGACTCCCCTGTGTCCTGCCCCTCAGTATCTGTTGAAAGAAGTAAGTGGGCCATTAAAGTCGCGTTTTGGTTTAGAGCATCATTCTTAGGGTGTGCACATTCATTCATTTTGTTCCTGCAACAAAAACACTAGGCCCTGGGAAATTCAGTGTTGAGCACCACCCTGGCCCCCACCCTGGGGGTCTGTGTCCAGCCAGGTGTGTGTAGGCGGGGGCGAGAAGGTGCTGAGCAGGTGAGGACCGAAAGCAGACACCACCTGGGTATTTCTCTGGGATCCTCCGATTCCAGGTCTCTCTGTGTTCTCCCACTCATCCTCCCTTGTGGATGTGAAGAGATTAATATATGCAAATACCCTTTTCCTGTGGTGGTTTTAGCCTTGAACTCTGTGGATTAAGTTACTTGATTTAAATACATATTTGGGCATTCCCCCATCCCCCGCATATATAGACATGTAGAAATCCTAAACACTAAATAAAATCCCTTCATTTTGCATGTGCTGTAAAGCTTCTAATCCCAAGTCCTGTGGGCATTTTGACAGTTAAGATGGTTCACAGGGGCTGCTGCGATTTTATTTGGAATATCAAATACCTGTATAATAAGGAGTGCCCCTTAGTGAGGCTTGCTAATACCACTCAGAGGGGGCCTGGGGATAAGACGGCTACTGGAGGGGTGCTGGGAGGGATCTCTGGAGGGACATTAGCAAGAGAGGAAAAGGAGACTCCTGAGGGCTGTCAGGTGCCAGGCTGGGTACTGCTGGGACAGGAAAGAGACAGGAGGGACACTTGGGTTTGATTGCATCAGAGGCCTGGTGAAGACAGTGGGTTCACTAGAAGCCTGTAAGGTAGGTTTGGGAACACATGTGTCCAAAGGTACAACTCAGAGCAAAGTTTTTCCAAAACCATTGTGGGGGGTGGGGCGACTCCTTATAGAGGTGTGTTCCAGATGGTGAGCAAGGCAAATGGTCCTGGGTTTGGGGAAAGGTAGGGGATTGCTTTGACAGCATGGCCAGAGGGCAGCCTGGGTTGACTTGGCCATGGATAACAGGAAGGCTGTTTCCCCAGTACATCCTGCCAACCTGGGACCTCAGCCTCTCTCCAGCCTCCTGGCAAAGCAGGAGGACCTCGAGGCCTTGAGGATGGGCTTGGGGATCACCTGCATTTCCACAGGTTGAGGGACAGAGCCTGGGCCTGCCCTCTGGGTGCTGAGGAGCAGGTATACTGCAGCAGCGCTGGCCTTCCCCTGAGACTGGGCGGCCTGGAGATGCCCCCTGCAATCCCACACTGGGCCTGGCACCCTCCAGTTTCCCTCTGTTCCCTTTGCCTGTTTTTCTTCCCCAGATACTGGGGTGACCCACTGCCTCCTTCAAGTCTCAGCTCAAATACCACCTCCTCATAAAGTCTACCCAAAGCAACCTGCCTGGCCCCCACCCCTGCATGTCCCCCATGTGTCCCCTGCACACCCAACCCCTTACCCTCTCCTCTGGGTTTCCCCATTGTACTCGTCTCCTTCTAACAAACTTTACCATTTAATTTTTACGATGTTCACCGCTTACTGTCTCACCAACCCCGACTGTCACTGGAATGTAAGCTCCTCATGGTGAGGGTCTGGGTTTGTTTTGCTCTCCCTAGGGCCTGGCACAGAGTGGGTGCTCAGTAAATATTTCGTTGACTGGATGAACTCTGCAAACATTGCCCAAATCCCTCCCCACCCTGGCACGGGCCAGAGCCGGTCCACGAGGCAATTACAGCCTTCAGAACCAACCAACCACTAAGAACCCACAGAATCTGCCCCTCCTGCTGAGCACCTCCTGCATATGTGCCACACAGAGGCCGGGGGTCTGTGTGCTGCCCTTCCCTCCAGGGCGACACGGAAGGCTCCTCCAGGGTGGGGACACAGGACAGAGCTGGGAGTGAACTCAGGGTCTTAGAACATCTGGGATGGAACTTTCTTTGCTGTGACATTTATATATGGCTGCATCCTCTTTTGACTTCTGTTTGCTTGCGTACCCCTTTCCATCCATCTCCTTTCAATCTCGGTGTCTTTACATTTAAACTGCTGCTCTGCATCTGTTCTTCTGAACTCCCTTCCCCACTTCCTTTGCATTATCATTACTTTTATTATTACTTAATGGTTGCTTAAAATCAGCCCTACACCCCTATCTTGTCAATTAACTTAGAGTTAGTATTGAACCGCTTTATGTGAAACGCAGAATCCTTACCATCTTGTTGGCAGTACCTTTTTTCTGCTGTAGTTGTCATATGTACATGTATATAATTTTTGCTTTAGATAGGTCCACACATTTTACAGAAATTAAGAGGAAGAAACAATCTTCTCTATTTACCCAGATATTTATTCCTGATGCTGTTCTTGAGGATCTATCTGCATTTCCATCTGGCACCTTTCCCTTCTAGCACTGCTGATAGTCCACATCTTCAGGTCAAGAAGTCTCTTTACTTAAGACATTTTTCACATTAACTTTGAAAAGGACTATTTTACCTTAATTCTTAAAGGATATTTTTGCTGGATATAGAATTCTTACATTGATGTACCTTTTTCCCTTCTTTTTAAAAAGACTCTTTTATTTTGAAATGACCACAGATTCACAGACAACTCTAAAAAAAGTGGTATGGAGAGAGCTGGGTGCCCTCAGCTAGTTCCCACAACAGTTATACCTTACAGGGTAGGGCAG